ATAGCGCTGATGTGAGAATTTGAATGGAGCGGTATATTCCATGTCGATGTTGCTAATGACGGTATCCTCCAAAAAGCCAACTAATGATTTTATTATATTTCACTTTATGGTATTTTAGGATCTTCTGTAGAATTGTAGAACAGCGGTGATATCGGTTAGGCAGTATCTTTGATACCGTGAGGTGTCTGTTTCATTATGGTACTCTCCTTCAAAAGATTCTCACGTCCAGTAAGGGCTACTTCGCTGTGAGTGGTACTTTTGAATTTGTGTGTTAGCATGCATGCTTTTCGTCGTCATAATAAACTCACACGGCCTCCCAAGCAGCTCGTTCTATTCTGGTTCATAAGTTCTAACGTGACGTTCTTCAAACGTTTTTCTAGATCCAATTTTCTCGAGAAATCTCCAATGATGACTTTGAAGAATGTATGGCCTTCTCTGAAGAACTTTTTCCAACAATGAAGAATGTATGGTCTCATTTGGAGGACTATTCTATGTTTATACAACCGCTTTGACTCTGTCTTCGTCACAACTTTATGTTGCTGCGAAAATAACGGAAAAGTCAAATAAAAAGGTCGTGCGTGCGTTATGTGAACAGGTCGTTATGTCAACCCAATGCATCTTTGACCTGTCAGTTTTTGCTAGGCTCTTGTAAATGAATAAAATAGGATGTAAAAAATTATTCTTGCTACTCTCAGTATCCCATTTGTCTAAGAAAATACGCTGTCCCAATTAGGTGCGCGTAGCGCAGCAGTTGAAAATGTCCTGTAATGTTAATTGGTCAGACTCCGTTTCTTCAGCTCAAGGATGCTTCCATCACCCATTATTGCGAGGTTGGAAATTGGTACCAGACTTTTTTGCGTTAGTAGCATTGTTTTGGACACATTGGTAGAACATTGAACTGGGAGAGTGACGAACACTGACATGGCATACGAGCGCGGCGTGAATCACTAGAATCACTGTGTAGGCCAGTTATGCATTCTAAGATCATTGGTGAAGTCGAATGCATGGTATTATATAGTGAATGGTCGCTCTCGAGAGTGTTATCCTCTATCCTTTGTTATTCAACAGCGTTGAGCTTTTTTCAGGCATACGGATGGTTTTCTAGGCTTGGGACCTATTTCGTTTATCCTAATCATATTTATTCATAATCTTTTCGAATTTCTCAATAAAGGACAGGTGAGCGAGTGACTTGTGATGTGATTTATAGAAACACTAAGAAACTCTGATGAATGCACTTTCCAGCCGTTGAAAGAACTCTTCATGATACAGCCAAGTTTACCATCATATAATCGTATTATGGGCACTGATGATAAAATCAGCCATGAAGAGAAATCTGCATCAACCGAGGCTCAACACGCAGACGAATCGTTGCTTGCTCAAGGAAACACAGAGAAGACAAAATTTACGTCAAAAGGGAGAATCTTCATCAAATCTTTACTTGCTGAAGGAAGCTCAGAGGAATTAACATCTAACTCAAAAGAAAAGACTTCGACTTAAAGTGTTACCATAACTTCTGAATCTTAAATCAGTGAGATAAAAGCACCATATCCTCTCTCGTATTACTCTACAATTGTGTTGTTTTCATCTTCTACAATATATCACGAAATAAAGCTTGTCATTTGAGCGTCATCACACGTTTGTGATCTGGCTAATATTTCTCAGCAAGATGAAATTGTACACCTTTTTTCTTTATTTAATGTCGATCTGAGAAACTTCAAGTCTATTTGAGTGCAAATTTACCGACGTATGGTATCATTCAGCATTAAAATTCTCTCTTTTGCATTTTGTTCCACATAGAAGATGAGTGAAAAATGAATGGAATATGTAACAAACATTGCAATCGGATAATTTGAGACCTCGCTCAAGAACAACGTAATCTGACAAAAATGGAATAAGCGCCATAACAGACCACATGCATGGCTCAAAAGATAATCGCTAGGGATATTGAAATCTAAGCGTGGTCTTAAGGAAATACTCCTAACGGCGTGCTTACTATACTACTATATTATACGAAAATATTCGAAACGTGAAAATACTCAACGCCGTTCTTTACAACCGTTCGCCCACACCCTTTACCTTCCCTTCCCTCTTCCCTCCTCCCCCTAATTCCATATTATATTGTTGTATCTTCTTTTTCTCTGATGTACTTTTGCAATTTCCATAAGAAAACTTGGAAATCTTTATAATACCCTTGTATAGTAAAGCTTTACAAGCAGACTACAACGATACTCGTAACTATGATCGTTTTTGATTACTGTACTTTTCTTCGATATGCAATCTATCATAAGGTTCTTCTTGTAGTAAAATTCAGGATGCTTCCAAAGAATGCTAGTATTCTTGCACTTTTCAGCAAATCTCGAGCTATGTTTTCATTACTAAATTTATATTTTTGCTACTTTTTACGTTTGGTAGCACAAAATTGTAAGCCGATACCTTCCGTTAGACAAGAACTTTTCATAGGAGTGTTAGTCATGATTCGAAAGCTTAAATCTCTTGCTAGCGCGTTACGTAAACATCTTTTTTTAAAGTCTTTTTATAACGCTTCAGCGAAGCGAAAACATTTGTGTTTCACACACGCATATTTCTCGTAGAAGAAGGCTTTATCTTTAGACTAATAGTAATTTTTCGATATCGTAAGATTTAATAAGTCTAACACTATGCTTAACTTCTGGATGGACCGCTTCTATGCACTGCAGCAGAGAAAATAAGATTGCTCCACATACGCCAGCATGAATTTCTCGGATAATCTACGTGATAGGAAAGGAGGCGTCGCGAAGGTGGATGCAGCGCTTTCAGCGCGGCCATCGATCGATTTGCGCCTCGATAGGTCACACAGAAGTGCGATTTTTGTTGTTCAAATAGTGGCTGTTTCTCCTCTTCGAAAGGATCTTCAAATTAAACGTCTGACTCTGATACTAGAAGATTTTCTCTACACGTTCATGTGCGTTGCCTCCAGCGAAATTATAGTGAGAGTGCGGCCGATGTGAAACATTCAAATTTTTCAGCGCTATAAAAAGATCTTTTCAAGAAACGGCCATATAGCGCGCTAGCTAGAGATTTGAGCTTTTGAATAATCACTATCACTCTTATGAAAACTTCTTGTCCAGCGAACGGGATCGTTTTCTTCATCTCGCGCTACCAAAAGGAAAAGAACCGAATTCAGAGAACGCGTCATCCCAAGAGGTTGAAAATAGGCACGGGTAACGTAAAAGTAGCGTATGTGTCACAGTACAGGTAAGCAACTGTTCTTCGAGTGATATGCGCCTGTGAAACGCAAATGTTTTTTTTTTTTCGCTGAAGCGTTGTAGAATGAGTTTTTCACGAAACGGCCATGGAGTGCGCCAGGCAGAGATTTGAGCTTTTGAATGATCACTGACACTGTTGAGAAATTTTTTTGACCTGCGGAGAGGATCGGTTTTTTTCTCCTGTGCTACCAAACGGAAAAGAGCCATTTTATGTTGTTTGATTCAATTATCCCTATTATAATTGTAATAGAAACAAATAACCAATAAAAGTAATAATTATATCAATAATAATAATTGTTACTTATATAACTGAGAGAAATGAGTGCTGAGCAAAAACGCGGCCTCAGGCGGGAATCGAACCCGCGTTTCATCCTATCCGAGGACGCGTGCTCTACCACTGCACCACCGAGGCACATTTGCCCGACCACTCATTCTTCAACATCTCAATGTTAGCTATAATACTTTGATAGAACGATTATAATTTCTGAGCACTTTATTGTTCCGTATTCGTAGTGTTTCTTTTTTCGGTTTGGCAGATCCCAATATTTCTGACATTCATTTCGTTTTTCGTATTCCTCCTGATGTCGTAGAACACAGATTGAGCACGTCTCCTTGCAACCTCGAGGATAGCCAGGCTGTGGCGTTTCCATAGGGCATTCGTCGTTGACTGCCGGAGAGTGTCGGGGGCGGGCTTTACCCGCGCGCCGCGGCGAGCATCACAATCACTCGGCCACGGCGCCCCCCCCCCCCTCCCCTAGATTAATTATATAATACTTTTAGTAATAGTAATTCAACTTTCAGAATCGACTTTCCTTGAGCTTCGACGTCACCAATCAATCATTTATATTTTATTGATTAGCCCATCGCGCGGAATTGGCAGGAAAAAAGCCTGTAGGACCGGGATTTCGGCAATTTTTTTCCCTTTTCTTTGATTTCTCGGTTTTTTTTTCTTTGGTAAGCGAACGGACGAGCTTTTTCTCCTAGAATCCGCTTGAATAGCTGACGTTTCGGTGGATTTCGCCTTGTTCGGAGTCGCTTTCTGTGAGATTTCCGAGTCCGATTTATTCCTTTTTCAAAGGAAAACGATAATTGATAGTATTTTTTTAAAATGCATTTCGCACTGTTATTATGTTTCCTATATTTCTAAGAGAATTGAGTGGTGAGCAAAAACACGACCTCAGGCGGGAATCGAACCCACGTTTATCCTATCCGGAATGAATGAGTGGTCGGGCACACGTGCCTCAGTGGTGTAGTGGTAGAGCACGCGTCCCCGGATAGGATGAAACGTTGGTTCGATTCCCCCCTGAGGTCGTGTTTTTGCTTACCACTCAGTTCTCTTAGGAATATAGAAAACGATAATTTTCCTAAATTTTTCTTATTTCTCTTTACAACTCATCTATTGTTGAGTGATTTTCCAGATGTTCTGAAGAGGTGGAGACGTGATTTTCCTCGTATTTCATCGTTATTGATTGATCTAGGAGGAGGAGGATGAATTTCAGTGCCTCCGCACTCTACGAGATATGTCAACGGCTCGAGGACAGTCACTTGAAGGTCAGTAGATCAACGATCGTTCCTCTTCCAAGAAAGAAAGGCTTTGATAGCTCAGGATCTTTTAGGACTCCACGGATTTCCAGCTTTGTATTGACGCTATCAAATCAGGAGACACACTGGCGAAGAAGCTAGCCATACAGTTTCACGTTCAGGTTCATGGATTTTCCGTACTTTATCCAGCGAGGTTGGGTGATGTGCAAATATTGACTTCAGGCGGGACTCGAACCCTCATCTCACTCTCTTCGGAGGAGCGCGTGCTTAACCCAATGCGCTACAGACGCGTGTTTTGCTATCACTCTCTTCGCGCTTTTCTTGTTTTATTTTCGGAATTTTGTTGTTGTTTTTCTTCTCAGATCGACAATATTGAGTGATATACCAAACTTCGAGCCTCAAACGAGATTCGAACCCGTATTTTATTCTTTCCTGCGATGAACCTTTGACGATCGGTCACTGACAGATCGATGATGCGTTGTACTGTAGAAAGGGTGATAGTAGAACAGGAGCTTAGCTAATGCAGTTGGTTAGCGCTGGCCCCCGGAAAGAGTGAAATGCGGGTTCGATTCCCGCCTAGCGTCAAAGTTTTGCACATCATTCAACATTATTGGGTATATTTTCTTGCTTTTTTGCTTTTTTTCCTGAATTTAATTGTTTTTTTTCGTTTCATATTCGACAATATTGAGTGATATGCAAAATATCGCACCTTAGAGGGGAATCGAACTTGTGTTTCATCCCTTCCGGGAGTGCGTGCTAACCAATTGCGCTACTGACGTTCCTGTTCTGCTGCCAGTCTTTCCTGCAATGGATGGTTGACGACTGAGTGCTGACAGATTGATGCTTTCTATCGCAGAAAGAGTAATAGCAGACCAGGAGCCACGGTAGTGCAATTAGTTAAAACCGCTCTCGGAAGGGTGAAGTTTCGAGTTCGATTCCTGTCTGGGGTTTAGTTTTTTGCAATCGCTAAAACTTATCAGTTGTATGTTTTTTTACAGCATATCACTGCTAAAAGATTTGATGAAAAGATTTCTTGTCGTTTCTTCTCAATGTTTCTTTTTTATTTCTTTGATAAACTCGTCAACTTTTTTTTTTTACAGATTTTTCGACCTCTTTCCGGACAAGAGGGCAGCAGCACTGAATGCATTGATGTCACAGCTTACTGTGCCGGATGTCGAGGTGATTTCTCATGATTTACAAATATGATAATTCCCAGGACCGAGTGACTATCTAGTAGCCTCGCCTTGATCAAATATACGCTGTTCTTGATGAGCAGTAATGAGGTTGATGAAATTCATCCAATATGCCTTGCAATCATTTCTGAGCCACGCATGTCAGTGGTCTGTCAAACAGGGCTGACTTATAGAGCCCGATACACGTGTTTCGATCTTGCGATCTCGTCAGTCGGGCAGTCACCCTTTCTCGTCTTTTGCTAATCTCTGTGGGTGCTCCAGCAAATGACGAGAAGGGTTTTGCCCGACTGACGAGATCGCAAGATCGAAACACGTTTATCGGGCTCTATAAGTCAGCCCTCCTCGACAGACCACTGGCATGCGTGGCTCAAAATGATTGCAAGGCATATTGAAATTTGAGCTGAGGTCTTAGGAAAACACTCAAAACAAAAGGAATTCATTGAGTAAAATATGGGTACTTGTCTTTTATGAGGCGACAGATGAAAAACCTATCTCTTTCGTTGGAGAGGAACTTTTCATCGGAGTGTTAGTGATCATTTGAAACCGTAGATCTTTAGGTGCACACCCACGTTACCTTTTTTTTGACGTTGTTACAGAACGAATCCTTGCGTCCCAGACTCGCATAGTCCTCCCTGGACAGAGCTCTCTTTTTTAGGCTATCAATAATTGTTCGATAGCGTAATCGTTGCTGATTCCAACACTGTGCGTATGTTCTAGAGAGGCCGTTTGTCTATAATGCAGCAGGGAAAATGAGTTTTGAACTCACATGCGCGAGCGAAGGGGGTTTTTCTGGCCAATTCACGTGCCGGTGGGTGAGGGGACCAGGTGAAGTGTTGACGCCATACACCTCTACACGCTCATATGCTCATAAATCGATGATCATCGTGTCAACACATGTGCCAACTTAGCCAGCGGCACGTGATTTGGCTAAAGACCCCCTTTGCTCGCGTATGTGAGCCAGTCTTACTTTTCCTGCTTTACTACAGAGAAACGGTCTTTCCAGAATGTAAACACGGCGTTGGAATCGGTAAATTTTACGTTATCGAATGATTACTAATAGACCAAAAAAAAACCTTGCCCAGCGGGAAATATGCCTGTCTGAGGCATAGTTTTGCGTGGAACCACAGCGTTACAAAAGGGTCTTTTTGAAAACCGGCGACGTGAGACTGTAGCCAAAAATTTGGGCTTTCGATTGAGTACGAACACAGCCATTAAAAGTTCCTGTCCAGTTATCCATTTGTCACCTCATAATGAACAGGTAAGTACTTAATACGAGCTGATGTTTGGCGATTTCACTTTCTTCAGAACATTAAAAATTTGATAGACAGCCAGTGCATTCACTCAAACATTTCTGTAACCGAAACAGGTAAAACAGGGTGTAAAAATGTCAGAGCGCTTGTGGTGCAATTATTAGAAGCGCCCTGCGACGTATACGAGGTCTATGGTTGCTCCCTTGCTCAGCGCTCATCAAGCCTTCCATCCATCACTTCGAGTTCGACAGATTAGTACCACACATATCTGGGAGGATTAGCAGGACTGCCTCGATATTTCGATAGCCACCGCCAGTATTGTATAGGTCGGATATGCAGTCAGCCACCACAAACGGTGCTTGACGAAGACGAATGCATGGCGCATCCCTCTGTGGTTAATCGTCCGCTATGGTTATGTAAGCATTCGGCTAGGTGATTTGCATGTTAAACTGATCTTCTCAGGCTCTGGAGAGGACGAAACCGCCGATCAATCAGTTAGTAGAAATCCGTCTCTTTTACTATTTTCAAACCTCGCTTCAAACATTCAACATAGTTTGCGAGATGGATTTCTACTTATTAAGTACCAGCCATAATCCGTCGACTGAAAAAAGTGGTGATGATACAAAATCACTTGCTATCCCAGGAACAATGTCTCCCCATCCCTGCTATGAAGTTGGGCTCAGTGTGGGGCGTGGGCCACTGACGAATCGAGCGAAAACGCCGAAACGTACTTAGGCTCTGACATACTCGCCTTGAAAAGACTCGAAACATTCTTACAGACAATTGGAGAGTGGGTATTGAGTGATTCTCATCAGCTTTCTGGAGTTTGCTCGTCAAAAAAAATGGCGAATCTCCCATCTATGTTCCGTTATGAAGATGACATGGTTCTTCGTCGTTATCCATAATTTTGATTTTCATGGCGGTTTAAAAGAGTCATGTCCATCGAAAGAGATCAGTTTTCCCCTATTTCCGCATAACGGAAAAGAACCATGCCCATTTTTCGTAGCATCGGTTAGCGGATCGCTGGGAAAATAAAGGCTTCTTTGATAGTAATCCAATGGCTAGATGTCGTTTTTTGTAGTACTTCTATACTCAAACAATGTCCCATTATAGGTGCGGAAGTTAGTCATCATGGGGCTTCCATCAACATGTCGACACAACACTGATTATGTAGATCAGGTAACGAATAGAATATCTAAGAGATGTTGGAGGAATCAACAATCTTGGCTCAGAAATCTCATTTTTGAGGTAGGTGACGTTCTTGCTCAGCTTTTGAACGTTGACGACAAACATGAGTTGCTACTGGTGAAGAAATCCCTTAGTTCTGTTCTATCCAGTCATCCTAAAGGTAGTTTTTTCCAGGTTTAGGTATTTTCTTTTTATCTCAATCCGTTTTTACAGTCCTTTGGAGACAAGATCGTCTCTTTTTTCATACTTTTGATTGTCATTCGATAGGTTGACTTCTTTGCGGACAGCAAGGGTCATTTTGACTCCCAACGTTTTCGGAGGTCTTTCTTCTCTGGACAGAGCCATCTTCCTGGGATTTAGGAATCATTTGAAAGCGTGAATCTCGGCGATTTCAACACTACATCTGATTCTTTCATTATCATTTGAGCCAACTTGTCATGTGGTCTCGTAAGGGCTCTTGTGCAGCCCGATACACGTGTTTCGTCCTTACAGACTCGTTTAGCCGGGCAGAACCCATCGTCTTTCGATCTTTTTATACTCAGTTCTCTCGGGAGCCTTACACTCCTTATAGAGAGTCATCGAAGACGAACGTTTTACACTCTATGTCAAGTGAAATTTACGCTTAACATAGAGTGTCGCGCACGTCGATTGCTCTTTGGCTGGTACTTTTATCATAATTATACCTTTTGTTTTGGCCGACAAGTGTGTAAGGACGAAACACGTGTATCGGGCTGTTGTACAAGAGCCCTTACCAGACCACATGACAAGTTGGCTGAAATATTAATGAAAGGATCTATTGAAATTCGAGCGTGGTCTAAACAAAGCACTTGAAATAAAGGTACAACTGCATCTGATTGCTGAAGGAGCTCTGTTAAGGACTTGTGGGAGCGAAAAGAAATTTACGTTTCACACTCGGTGTTTTTTCCACACATTATATATATATATATATGTATATATATATATACATATATATATGCGCAAAAGACATATGAGTGTATAGATGTTAGTCTTTTGAATACAACAAAAGTGAATTTTTCATTTCTCGTGATAGAGGAAAAATCTTTCGAAATAACGAAAACTGCGCGCCATTTTGCCGCTGTCCGCAAAAGGTTAAAATAGATAGAGATGGAGATATGGAACTTGTGGTGTGAATGCAGGTCAAATTTCTTACAATTTTTTTTGATGTAGCTGCTCTTGTGGCGATGTATGGCGCTGTGGTAAAACGCTGAAAGTGTCGAGGAAAAACTAACAATTCTCGAGTTCATGGATGAGAAAGTGAATCGTTTACTCAATGGAGAGCTCTCACCACTTATGAGACAAAAAATAGCAGCTATTTACAAGACGGTAGAGTTTTATGTATCCGGTTTTAGTAGACAGAGGTTGGATTGGGCAGTGATTAGTGATACGATGTACGAGGAAGCAAGATGATAGACAAAGCACTGTTCGACTCCTTCTCTTGCGGTCAGTTAACAAAGCTCTCAGGATGCTTTAGTTTGATTCTCGGAAAGCGACTATTTCTAAGTAATGTTTTAGTCAATATATCTAACAATATTACGCTACCGTCATATGCAAACATATGCATGCATATCTATTTGATCGTATTTATGTGTTTGATGGTCCATGGTTCGAACCACGCCCAAGGCTCACCAAGCCCTTCCA